CACAGAAAGAGGTGAGATACAGGCACAACGGAATACTATACAGCTATGAAAAAGAAGAAACCCTGCCATTTGTAACAGCCTGAATGGGCCTACAGAAAATTATGCTTAGTGACATAAGCCAGACAGAGAAAAAGACAAAGTGGATTTCAATATATGCTGATTTTTAATGATGTAACCTGAAACTTATAATACAATGCTACCTCAATTAAAAAAAAAAAAGAAATCTGGACTGCGAATAAAATCAGGTCATCCGACTCCCAGGTCAGCCCTTCACAATCAGAAGCTGCATTTTAACAAGACTCCAGGTAACTGAATAAGGCACATTCACTGTGGGAAATCATGCTTGGGGCCATTGCTTCTCAACAGAGTAGAATGTGAGTCACAGGGTGAGTTCAAAGTTTCCTGTACACTTATTTAATGTAATTTTAGTCGAGTATATATGAAACTCAAATGTAGACCACGCAAATCCACATTTTAAAAAATCATTGAGGCCCTCCCTGGTGGCGCAGCGGGTTAAAGCACAGCACTGAGAATCTGAAGCCACTTCCGTATGAGTTCGATTCCCGCCTGCCGCCTGCCCCGGAGGAGACCACATGGCGAGCCAGACCTCTCCTGGCCCGCCCGCTGCTTCCCTCAGCAGTGTACTTCGTCGATCTGCCTGTTCTGCTCCCCACTCTGTCTCTGGTGAGGCCTCTCACCGCCCCTGAGCCTCTGGCCTGTACCCCAGTTCTGTATGAATAAATAAATAAATCTTAAAAAAAAAAATCATTGAGTACTATTTTCACCTTGTTACGGTAATGACATGGCTGAATGTTTGACATTTTATTTTTAAGATTTATTTATTTATTCACACAGAACTGGGGTACAGGCCAGAGATGCGGAGGGTGAGAGGATTCACCAGAGACAGAGTGGGGAGCAGAACAGGCAGATCTATGAAGTACACTGCTGAGGGGAGCAGCGGGCGGGTCAGGAGAGGTCTGCCACGCCATGTGGATCTCCTCTGGGGCAGGCGGGATCGAACTCATGCGGAATTGGCTTAAGCTTTTCTTTTTTTAAGATTTATTTATTTATTTGTACAGAACTGGGGTACAGGTCAGAGATGCAGAGGGTGAGAGGATTCAACAGAGAGAGAGTGGGGAGCAGAACAGGCAGATCGACGAAGTACACTGCTGAGGGGAGCAGCGGGCAGGTCAGGAGAGGTCTGCCACGCCATGTGGTCACCTCCGGGGCAGGTGGGAATCGAACTCATGTGGAAGTGGTTTAAGTTTCTTTGTGCTGTGCTTTAACCCGCTGCACCACCAGGAAGGGCCCAAGTTTGACTTTTTTATAAGTGGGAGAGAATTACACCAATCAAGATCTTCATCTTAGGTTTTAATTAATCTTCCATGTAGCAATGGCAACATTATTAAGTCAATGTCCTAAGTAGATACTCTTTCTTACATTGCAAAAGTGCCTTTGAAATATCAAAGAATGGATGAAAACTAAAAAATCCAATCACTCCTCAAGCCATTGGCTCTACAAGGCCAAAGATCTAGTTACTTGGAAAAATCCAGAGTCTGACCTGAATTTTCTAGTGTCCATGATAGTGATTGGGGTTATTTAAGCATGTATTACATAAATGCAGATGAAAACAGAAGAGAAATGTAGGTAACTTTAGGATGTTTTGCTTTGTGCAATAAAGAAGGGAACCATAAAGTAAGTAATCCCTTAATTTGGGGTGCAAGAGAAACACTTAATAACCACCCCCGTGTGAGATCATTGCCTAACATTAGTAAACATTCAAAATGAAGTAAGAGGCCCTTCCTGGTGGCCTGAGGGTTAAGTCTCAGTCAGCACTGTCACTGCTACAGCCCGAGTTTGATCCCGGTCAAGGAGTGACCCACAGGGCACAGCAGACCTCTCCTGTCTCCCCGTGTCTCCCCTCAGCAGCTGATCTACCTGTTCTGCTCCCCACTCTGTTTCTGTAAGTCTTCTCACCACCTCCCACACCTCTGGCCTACACCCCAGTTCTTCTACGCATAAATAAATAAAGATATGAAAACATCTTAACAAAAAAAAAAAAAGAGGGGAAACCTGTGGCTACATTATCCTATCCACCACTAGCATGGGGAAAGGTGACATTATAAACTTAATATTCCGAGACCTTACAAGGTATCTTGGCCACTTTCCCCTCTCCCGGTCACATTCCTGCATTCATGGCTAACATATTGTTGGGAGTATTCTAAAGTAGTACTGATATTACATATGGCTGCCTTCACCTGCCCCGTTCTTACCTGCTATGCTCGGTCTATGCAGCACATCTCACCATGCTGAAGTTACGCATTCCTGAGAAGTATGGGGGTCAGTTCAGAATGATATACTATTGTCTAAGAATTAGAAATAGGGGTAGTGGTGAACAAGAGTAAGTCCCAACCTCTACTAATTTCACTGGGGATTTCCGACAGGCAGCCCGGGGCTGTTAACAGGCCACTGACATTTCCAGAGTTACAACTTCCCTGCACATGCATCAAAAGAGGAAGGAAGAATTTATCTTCAAACTCTGGAGGAGCCTTCAAAATGACTAGCAGAGAAGGGACGCTTTAAACACCAGAGAGAGCGGAGGAGTGGGAACTAATTAAACAGACCTTGTAAAAGCAGCAAACTGCAGCCTTGTTAACAGTCTACAGGTCCTGGATCTGGGATTCACAGGTCCTGCTAGAACAACCCAAATCAAATGACAAAGCCAAACCCAGCAACATATTCAAGAAAGCACCACCTCTGTCCCATAGATGCTGTCAACACTGACTCTGCTGTGCCTATTTTGGCTGAGACGGATTTGAAAAACACTGTGAGAAAGGCTTACTTGCAAACAGAGGTTGCCCATTAGCTACGACAGCTAAGAATTGGAAACAACTCAAGTGTCTATAGGTTGTCACACACAGAAAGAGGTGAGATACAGGCACAACGGAATACTATACAGCTATGAAAAAGACGAAACCCTGCCATTTGTAACAGCCTGAATGGGCCTACAGAAAATTATGCTTAGTGACATAAGCCAGACAGAGAAAAAGACAAACACTCTATGACTTCACTCGCATGTGGTATACTGAGGAAAGACTAAGTAAAAGCAAACTTTTGGTTTGTAAAAAATAAAACAAATAAATAAAACAGCAGGAGTTAACCAGTGTTACCTGGGGAGTTTTAGAAATACCCATCTCTGGGCTCCCCCACCCCAAAGGTTCTTTGCTTGAAGAGGGACTCCTCTCCTCTCCCAGGGGTTCTAAAATGCAGTAGGGTCCATGGACCATTGGGTTAGTCAGCCCGCTGTGTCTGTATCTACTTCTACATCTTTGTGCTCTCTATACCAAATGACACTCTAATTGATGCCAGCTTTTCTTTTTCCTTCTTTGCCTACTGCAATTTTCAAAGAGCAAGAGACTGTTCCTTGCTCCAGGGCTGGGCAGGACATGGCAGGGGCTGGTGAGTATCAGCGGGCATGTCTGGCTTTGTGCAAGTGTGCTGGGAGGGATCACTTTGCTCCGTGAAGGCAGCTGGAGACACGGCTTCGTTCCCCAACTCCCTGGCTGTCTTTCCAAATAGGTGAAAACCAAACCAAACCAAACCGCTACATGTGTATTTTAATAGAGAAACAGGACTAAAGAATTATAGAATTTTAGATAGTTGCTTCCCTACCTTTCTCTGAAATGGTTGGATTTCACATTTCTGAACCTGTTTTGATACAGTTAAATTGGTTTCCAGGGAAGCACTTTTCATTTTTTTTTACATAATGGAGAGACCAGACATGAAATGAAGAGAAACAGATTTTGAACTCTTGTCGCCTTTTAAAGGGCTTGCAGAGAGACCGCCCGACTGTGTTTCTGATTTATTACCAACGCCATTCTCAACAACCACTTGCCTGCTCCTTGGAATTCGTTGGCCCAGGCCACACCCGCCAGTTCAAATCTACCCCATGACAACTCAGCCCTGCACCACCACCCCATGAAAACGCCCAGATAAACCCAGTACCTCAAAAAGCTGCTATACACACCACTCGGGACATTTACTATGAAAAATCTGTTTTAATGAAGCAGCAGAGAGCTGCAGAGGTTCAGAAGTAAGTAGGGCCATGAAGGGCTGGGCAGGAGCAGGTGGGCCTGCAGCCAGCCGGGGCTGGGCAGGGCTGGGCAGGGCTGGGCAGGGCTGGGCAGGGCCAGGCAGGGCCGGGCAGGGCCGGCCAGGGCCGGTGGCCCTCTTCAGGAATACATGGTGAGCTGCAGCCACTCCTGGACAGACACCTGGATCAGGCCATCGGCATCTCTGTCCAGGGACCGGAAGGCCCGGTACATGGCGTCCAGACGCACCAGGCAGCTGATGAAGTTGTTAAAGTCCATGCTTCCGTCCTCGTCGTCGGCGAAGCGGCGGACGATCATCTGGTACAGCTGCTCGTTGAGCTGGAAGCCGGCGGCCTGCAGGGCCCCCTGCAGCTGCGAGGGCCCCAGAGTCCCCCCGGGGCCCGTGGTGTATTGCTTATACACACACTGCCACTTCTTGATGTTGTTCCACAGATACTTAAATTCCTCAAAGCCCAGCTTCCCGTTCGTGTCGTTGTCCATGACGGACACGATGCTCCGGCAGGTGTCCAGACTGAAGCCGTCGGTCTTCAGATCCTTGTGCTTCGCGAGGATTTTGTTGAGAATGTTCATGAGGTCAGTGGCGCCCACCTCCATGTCGGGGCCGGCCAGCTGGGCGAACTGCTGGCGAAAGCGCTGGACTTCGGGGCTCTCGTTGGCCTCCACGCTGGTGTAGTGCTGTTGGGTGGGGGGCGGCTCGGGGGTGTACTGCGCAGCGGCGGCCTCGCTGATGAAGTTCACGATGCCCCCGACGATCCCCCCGAAATTTCCGCCCCCTCCCCCGCCCCCTCCTCTTCGCTGACCGCCTCCTCCAAGAAGACCTCCCAGGGCGCCTCCGAGGCCTCGGTCTGCCCCTTCTAATAAAGCCCTTGCAAGAAACATGTTTTCCGTTTAACAAGCAGGTCTGAAAGCTGCCGAAATCCCGGAGACGGTGTGGAGAGAGCCGAAATGGAGACTGCGCCGCTTACATGTGGGAGAACTGGCTGTTCCGTGCAGTTCTTGCGGCAAGAGCAAGAGCAACAGCAACGCCCTGGAAGCCTGGCTCACCGCCTACTGAGTGTGCCTGGATTCCTTCAGGTCCTAGCACCTGCCATTTCTTCTAGGGCAATAAAATATTTACAATTCAGAGTGTGTCTGCCAGATGGGAAGATAATCCCTTTTTTAAATGGGGCATAGGAAAGGCGACCGTTCTTTAGCATGGAAGATCACGGGCATCTTTCCAACAGGAGGAGGTAAATGACCCAAGGATTTCTTTTCTGAGGAATATTTCACGTGAGGGTGAAACTGAGAATCCTTGAGCGCTGGAGGGGTATGGGCCCAGTCCTCTTACTTGAGCAAAGTCCACAGTTGTCAAGGAAAATTTGAAAGGGGATTTTTAAAATGTCGGGTCCCGAGGCTCATCCCAGAGATTCTGATTCTGTAGTCAGCTGTGGGGCCCATGATTTCCATTTTTGGGGTTAAAACAAAATATATTTATTTGTGCATGCGAGAGCTGGGGTGCAGGCCAGAGGCGTGGGGAGGGGTGTGGTGAGAGGAGTCACCAGAGACAGAGTGGGGAGCAGAACAGGCAGATGGACTGAAACACACTGCTGAGGGGAGCAGCGGGGAGACAGGAGAGGTCTGCTGTCCCTGTGGGTCACTCCCTGGCCGGGGATTGAACTCTCGCTGCGGTGGCTGGTGATAGCTCATGGTGCTGAGACTTAACCCCTTGTGCCATCAGGGAGGCTCTGGATTCTTTTTTTGCAGTGTGATACTGATACAGAAAACTGCAAGTCCCAAAGACATCACTGAAAAGATCTCACAGTGGTACACACCCATGTCCTCAACCCACATGTGGGGGACCCCAGCACCCAACGCTGCCCAGTGCTGTCCAGCTACCCTCCTTGCCCAAGGGGGAGGTCACAGTCCCCTCGTCTAACACACACACCCTAGGCCTTAGGTAAATGGCACCCAGCAGTGTGTGGTCTGCATGCATGAAACTTACCATCTTCACCCTAATTACATGTATAGTTCTGTGGCATCATGTATGATGTCCAGGCATCATCACATTCCAACTCCAGGAATTTCATCCTGCAGAATGGAAACTGCCCTCACTTCACTCTAGCTCCCGTGGCCCGGCCTGCCACCTGCTGTCCTGGCCACCAGCATCCTGCTTCATGTCCACAGGCATTTGATGACTCCGTCTGGAGACCTCAAATTATGCTCAGTGCTGTCAGACAGTAATGTCATTTTGCGACTGGCTTATTTCACCTGGTGTACTGTCTTCAAGGTTATTCATACTGCAATGTGTCCGTATTTCTTTCTTTTCCCAGTTAGATAGTACTCCATGGTGTGTGTGTGTGTCCATGTTGGTCCATTCTTCGATAGGTGGAGACTTGGGCTGTGGCTACTTTTGACTTATGAATAATGCTGCCCTCTACACTGAGTACATCTCTTAAATCCCCGCATGTAATACTTTCGCGCACACGCCCACATGAAATTGCTGAATCCCATTGTAATCCCATTCTAATTGTTTGAGGATCTACCATTGTTTTCCACAGTGGCTGTAACCATTTAATTCCCACCAACACTGCACACAGTTTCCGGTCTCTCCACATTCTTGCCAATACTTGTTATTTTTTGTTCTTTTGTTGTCAGGGGCAGGGGAGGCTGGAGAACCATGCTGGGGGGTATGTTGCGGTACCTCATTGTGGCCCAGCACCGTTTGTTGAAAAGACTGTTTATTCCCCAGTGAGTGGTCTGGCATCCTCGTTGAAAATAATCTGACTGCATATACTTGGGTTTATTTAAGGGCTCTCTATTCTATTCCACTGGCTTTATGCCAGACCGCAGTAATTTTGATTACTGTAATTTTGCAATAAATTTTGAAATCAGGCCCTCCCTGGTGGCGCAGCGGGTTAAAGCGCAGCACTGAGAAGCTAAAGCCGCTTCCGCATGAGTTCGATTCCCGCCTGCCCCGGAGGTGACCACATGGCGCGGCAGACCTCTCCTGGCCCGCCCGCTGCTCCCCTCAGCAGTGTACTTCGTCGATCTGCCTGTTCTGCTCCCCACTCTGTCTCTGGTGAAGCTTCTCATCGGGCCTGAGCCTCTGGCCTGTACCCCGGTTCTGTATGCACAAATAAATAAATCTTTAAAAAAAAATTTGAAATCAGACTGTGTGAGACTTCCAAACTTTGTTCTTCTGCAAGGTTGTTTTGGCTATTCAGGACCCCTCAGAATTGGAGTTGAATTTGAGATGGAGTTTCCTATTTCTGTGACAAGTGCCGCGAGGATTCTGATAGAGATGTGCACTGTCTGTGGGTTGCTCTGAATAACACTGAATCTTAACAATTTTAACAATATCTCATCCACATGCAGAGGACATCTTTCCATTTAATTGTATTTGATCTCTTTCAGTGGTGTTTTATAGAATTCAGTGTACAGTTTTTTTTTTTTTTATATTTCTAGAAGTTTGTCCCAAAACATCGGCTGCACACAGTTACAGTACTCATCTAAGGCTTTTTATTTTTTTTCAATTGAGAGTAATATCCTTTTTCATTTCTGACTTTAGTCTTTGCTTATTTTCCTCAGAATTATATTGGTGAGGTTTGGTTTGCTATTTTTACTAAGTATCCTCAGAGGTCAGTCTCTGGCAGGAGTCCCAGACTGTGCCTTGAGACACGAGGCAGAACCAGGGCCAAGTCCCTGGAGGTCTCCGACGTTCTGGACCTTGTCTTTAGAATCTCGCAAGTGGACCTGAGAGCATCCCTGACCACCTAAATGTGCATCCTTATGTCCACATCAAGTGTTTGTCACTGCGATGTAGTCCGATTCTTCTCTTATTTTCTGTCGGGATGGAGAGCACTTGGCTAACTGTTTCTCATAAACCATCACAGAATAAAAAGTCTGGTACTAGATCAACAAGTCTTTTCTTCTCTGAACGATTTGATCCCCTGGGCTATTTATTTTTTTTAAGTGTTTTTTCTTGTTCTTCCTATTATTTTTATAAAGGTTTATTTACTTATGCATACAGAACTGGGGTACAGGCCAGAGGTGCAAGGGCAGTGAGAGGCTTCACCAGATGCACAGTGGGGAGCAGAACAGGCAAATGGATGAAGTACCCTGCTGAGGGGTGCAGTGGGGAGACAGGAGAGGTCTGCTGCACCCTGTGGGTTGCCTCTGGGGCCGGGAATCGAACTTGCCCTGAAGCGTCTGTGGCCAGCTTGCCGTTGCTGTGCTTTAACCCCACTGTGCCATCATGGAGGGCCCCGAGGCTATTTATTTTTAATTAATTAACGCTAATAGCCACTTCGATGCTGTCTGGAGGCGCTCTAGACCTGGAGAAGTGGCTAAGGCATGCAGGCATAGCTGGTGGAAAGTTTAATCCATATCTGAGGGGGAAGAGTTACTGAACTTAAACAGTGAGGCAGGAATGCTTTTAGCAATGTTATGTAGACCTGAAGAAGAAACAACCTAAGTGTCCACTCATGGTCAACGGTCAACCGATCAACCAAATATGCCATAAATCCATGTCATGGAGGAATTCTTGGCCTTAAAAAGCACAAGTGACCGACAGACGCTATGCATGGGCGAAGCACGAAGCTGGGAAGTCAGACACAAAGACGATATTCTGTATGATTCCAAGTCAGTGAAATGTCCGGAAAAGGCAAATCTATAGACACAAAGACTCTCCTATGGCCTGAAGTGGTGGCATGGGGCTCGGGCACAGCGAGGGGACAGGAATGCACTAAGGACACAAGTCACTGAAACGGACCGAAGGGAATGTCCTGGACTCATTCATGGTGACGGGTGCACAGCTTGACTACTTGACTCTAAAATTCATAGCTGTGTATGCTTGAAAGGCATGAATTACATGACATGCACTACCTACCTCAAAAATTATTTTAAAAAGGTCAACAACAGTGATAGTTTATAGTTAAAATAACAGGCGATAAGAATCCTAGTGCTAGGCTCATCAGAAGGGGAGGGAGAACCTCGTGCATGTGACTTCCTCTTCTGGGCTGGGAGCCTTCTCCAAAATGAGGAAGATGGGCGATTCGACACCAGGCCGATTCAGGCCCCTGCAGCTCTAATTCGTGGGTGTGAATGTTTCATGTGCCATGAAACAGTGACAGCACTTCCTGTTCTTCTGGTGCTGAAGTCTTTTTATGCAATATATTCATTCAAACTTTCTTTATGTCGGATCTGGTACCATAGCTTTTAAAGATATACTTCCTCTTATGCCCCAATTCTCTGGCTTCCAAGAGTATTCCAGACTACTACCTAGTAAGTATGCTTCTCCTCTGAATGGAAGTCCAAGATTGGGGATGGAGCCGGGGGAATGAGCCACGTCTGGAAGGAAGGACACCAGACCCCATTCCTGGGTGCAGCCTCTCTTTCAAGTGAGGCTCTTACCTAACTGCACCATGATCTGGGCCAGGCCTTCCTAATTTACTGATAAGAATGTCATGTGGGATGAAATCAAAAGGTTTCTACAGTTTATAAAAGATAATCTCTTTCCTTTCTTTATCATCTTCGGACTGTCGCTGTCACAGAAGGAAATTACATTGGCAGGACAGAACCCCTTCCTTCCTTAGGGCCGTTAAGTGCTCACTTTCTCTAGTAAAAAAGTTAATTGTCACGCTCTTTGTTGTGTTTCCTCTTAGCATCTCCTAGGTATACTTGATTGAGGAGGCGGAAATACCACATCTAATTCTCAAGCCAGCCAATGTGTTTTTCCAGGGTCACCCTCAGAGAAAATACTATGCTGGACTAAAATGGGGGGAATTAGGCAGCATGAGAATTAAAGAGATAAGTGGTCAGAGGTATAGGACCATCAAATGTCCAGGAGAACCTGTACCACTGCACAGCAAAGGTCATCTAGCACATTTGGGTCATTAAGGTGGTTTTCTGATCATTGTTCATGTAAATCATAGTGTGGATTTCTTAAAATAATGCCTGATAACTGAGACTAGAATCGAGAGGAGTTCTTTTCACATGAAGTATGACATACAACATTCTATGTCAAGCTTGAAATGGAGACTTAGAGGATTGAAGACTTGAGTTTGGTATGATTGGACTCACCACAGTGCAAAGATAGCCACAGATA